ACGTCTTCATCCCGAAAATAACAATGGCCGGAGGATTCGAATATGCATGGATTTTTAAAATGCCAAGCTTGCTACCCTGGCAACCTACACATATTTTCCTGACCCTTTTTTATTACATGTGTCAATTAGCATCGGTACGGTTACTGTACATCTTAATATTTTAAACATTAGTTTTGTACGAATTAAAATTATTCAAAGATATTCGATTCTGCAAATTAATCTATAATATAATCATCAAATTGAAATTAAGAATATTCTATTAATTAAAATTATATTATATTTTCCTATAAAAAAAAAAATAAAAATTATAAATTACACATAACATTAGCGACTAATTTTAATCTACATTTATGTTTATGATGTGCTTTTTAGTTTTTTAATTGTAGAAATTTTTTTTCATTTTTTTTTGAAGAACTAATAGAAATAATTTTATTTATACAGAATGGACTTGGCAGAAACTATGAAAAATATTGTTGCCAAAGGTATGCAAACCGAAATGGGACCACCAGGCGGAGGATCAGGTTATCCTGGAACACCAAGTAGTGCTGGTTATGTTACTGAAAAAATGTATATGTTATTACAAGCCTATCTTCAAAATAAAGGTTGGAATCCAAGCATCGAACTGCTGCAATGCTTTTCTGAATTTAAAGATGCATCTATGATTCCAAGTGCTGCCTATTTGCAGTAAGAATACTTAATATTTTATAATATTTATATAATGTTATGCATATAAAAATTATATATATACATTCGTCAAATATATGTATATATTTGAATAAAATAATTATTAATATATTTGTAAAAAATAATTTTTCATTTTAAATATATGTTTTATAATATATAAATAGGATGATGGCATCAAGAATTGCTCTGGATTCTCAGGGAAGATTAGTTCTTAGGGAAAATGGAAAAATAATATTGCCATATGAACATTTTGCAAATGCTGTGATGTTAAAGCATATGAATGGTCCACATGGCCTACATTTAGGCTTGGAAGGGACAGTTAGAGCTGTTATGGAATCATATACTATTGGACGAGAATGTTTTGGTATGGAAAAAGAATTTATAATAGAAGTGGTACAAAACTGTCCAAATCCTGCTTGTCGTTATTATAAAAATCAACTTGAATTAACTCAAAAAATGGGACATATGGCACCAACTTATATTCAGGAAAATGAAACAACAGCTTCTCTTTTACGTAGTAGTTTTCCTCATAATACAGATTTTCAAACAGTAAGCATGAATTTTTTTTATTATTAATTTATATATATTATGTATATTATGTAAATTTATTTTTATAAATTAATTATGTTCTTTTATTATAGACATTAAGCACTGCTAATCCAAATACTCATATGGGAGGATCAACAGCAGATTTGACTGAAATAAGAAGTGCTGGAAACCAAATAAATCTTCAACGTCCTCCAAGCCGTCCATCATTAAATATTCCACATCGACCTGTATCACAAGAAAAAAAAACCACTGGCAAGCAACATTATGAATCTTTAGTATCAAATATTCCAATATCTGATCATAAATTAACAGATTTCTTAAGAACGAATTTGGATAATTTGGACAATCTCAGTGGACTTGGTTTGGGAAATTTACAAGGAATAGGAAATGCAAATAAAGATTTATTAGCTTTACATAATGGAGCTTGGCCATTGGAAAATGAGAAAGGATCTCGGGCATCTTCAAATTCAGAAGGTTAATAGATTTTAATTTATAAAATTAATGTTTAAAATGAATGTTAAAAAATGAACAAAATATTTACTTATTTTTTAAATTTTTAATTTTTATATCTTAAATTTTTCATAAATTTTTTTTTTAAATATTTATGATAATTTTTATCAAATATATATTATTAAATATATTTTATGAAAATTATATATTATATAATTTAATATTTTCATTTGTATTAAAATAATTTATATTTAAAAAAGAAATTTAAACTTTAAAATAATTTTTAATGTAATTTGTAAATTTTCAAATTCATATATTTTTTTATAAAATTTTTTTTTATATAGTAAAAAACAATGAAGTACTTTGTCAATTTTAAATGATTCATTAATGATTATCATATTGTAGGAGGACAAGAAAAAATCGTAAGAGCTTTTGCAGAAGTTATGAAAAATATGGCAAGAATGAAAGCTTGTGTACGTCCTGCAATGTGCAAACCATATGGAAAACAATCAGAAGCTTTACAAAAAAGTAATAAAATATGTTATCTATAATATATTTTAATATTTATGTTTTAATGTAATATTTCTGTTAGGTTTACAAATAAATTTTTGTTATAAATTAATTATATTTTATATCACATTAATGAATGATATTATTAGATATTAAAAATTGCTTTTGTGATTATTTCATATATCTTTTGCCAATTTTCTTCCATTAATGAAATAGAAATTTATATGTTTTGGATTGATTTTGTTATAGCATTGGTGGATACAATACAGCTTGTACAGTCGTTAAGAAGTTTTCTGCCACCTCCACATATTCCTGTTTCAAGCTGGAAAAATGAAGATAAACATCGATTAGATCATACGGGTACTCCTTATCTCCCATCGTTGTAAGTATCTCTTATAGTTTACATTTTAAGTATACCCTCGTTACATGACTAGAGATATCAAATAAAGAGTTATAATTTTTATGCAGAAAGACTGGAGGTTTAGAAGAGTTATGCGAACAACGCAAGTTAGACTAAACATGTCTTCGCTTTTTAAGCGGCAGACTAAGTTTTGTCTTTGCGCTCTATGATGTTCTAGTCATGTGGTGTTTATGGGTTAGATGGGTGTTTTGTATTTAAACAACCCGAAGGATTGCTCAAATGTTGTTGGCGTTTAGGACTTCAAAATACTAAGAGACAAAACGAGTCATGCGTGGACTGTGATAAACGTGGGTAGTGAAAATAAATTTATATATAGTTAATCGAAATTCACATCGTTATTTCATATTCAAATTAGTTTTATTTCATTGCTTTAAGTTTTTTGTGAATTTTTATAATCTGCCTATGGGGCTTATTTAAATTATAATTGTGGTGCAAGATAGTTTTGAATTATCTACTTTATAATAAATAATTTACATATTATGAATATGTATTATAAAATGGCATTTATATTTTATTGTTGTGCATTGATTTAATATCTCACCACTTGTGTTCCAATGATACCTGATCAACATTATTATGAAGATGTTTTTTGTTATATGAATAAATTTTATGTATGTATTGGAAGTTTACATAAACTATAAAGATTAAATTTAGTTTTGCATATAAATATAAAAGATTTACTAATTAAACATTGTTATAAATACTCCAAATATGAGAGTATATATAAGCAATCATAATTCTTGTTACTTGACCTCGCATTATTTAATTTTTGAATATTTATTACATAAATTATAGGATATTGTTTTGATTTAAATGAAATGAATTAACAAAAATTATCCAGTTAAAATAAATATTTAATTACTATATATACGTATATATATATAGTTTTTTAAAAATTGCTCTGTATAAATTATTGTTTATTTGTAAAAATAGATCAAACATATATTGTTGTTATGTCTAGTATTATTATCTGTCAAATTAATGTTAAAACTTACAATAATTTATAAGCTCCATAGGCAGTAACATGCGTTACGTGTGCATGTAAAAAAAGAAATCATTGGTCAATTTATAGATATTTTTCAATAAATAAATTATTTCATTATTATATATAATTAAAAAAAGAAAAGAATAAAGAATTACATTATTAAAAAATGTAGCGTAATTTGCACGAATGCTCAAAATTTTCTCTCTGTGCACTGATATTACTTATAAATGTTATTATCTTTGATAACCGCGAAATGCGTAATAAACTAAGAAAAGAAAAAGAGAGAAAAAGAAAGAAAAAAAAATATTATGCGTTATTTCAATCGAAA